ATTTTTAGAAATTGTATTTAGCAGGGCCCCTCTGGATACCAGCCACTGTGCTGAATGGGCCACCCTGCATAAATAAAGTTTTACCTACCTACCTACCTTCTAAAATGATGACGTTTAACCTGATAATTTCCGCTGTAACGAGGGATGTGAAATGTACACTAACATTACTGATATCATGATGGACTTTTTTTGGTAATTTTTTAATTTTTTTAATACAGTACAATATGACATACAACTTAACCATACTTTAACATACTTTAACAATATTTTACTTACAAATACTGAATAACAGTAGGTTGCTTACAGTAGATTAGTTACAATAAATTACATCACTAAACGTACACTACATACATGTACATTACCTACAATACATTACTCACAGAAAACTACTGAGTCTTATTTACGATATTTTTTCGGGAGAGGGAGTTCAAGAAACAACGTCGAAAGTTTAGATGAAATTACAAGTTAAGAGTTTTTCCCATTTTTTGTTATATGTAGTCATCTTATTACGTTTTACTGTTATTTGTCGCTCTATGTCCTGAACTATTTTAACTTTTGCTACGAAAACCTTTAATGATGGTTCCATATTGTTCAATTTGCATTTATAAATATAAAATTTTGCCATAAGTATCAGGTGATTTAAAATGATGATACCTTTGCTTTCGCTAAACTCACTAAATAAGATAGACATTAGTGTTAGAGTCTCTACAAAAATGTTTTGTTTTCTAAGCCAAGAAGTAAGAGCCGGCCAAAAGGCTTCTGTACACCTACAGTAAAAAAAGTAGATGATGGACTTGCCTTTATCCATTGAGGAGTATTCACCTGAAGGTGTTTTCAACTCTTGTTCTTCTTTTTTCTCCTCGTAGAAGAGTAAGTATCCACTTTGCTATTAAATGGACAAAAGTGTGTTACTACGACCAACTTATTCCCTCATTCCTAAAGAGTCAAATACTAGACTCATATAAACAATGTCAGATTTAACATTAGTACATGTACATACTTCCAGCTTGGCTTTCACTTGACCATTGTTAAGTGTTGAAATCTTCTCATCGTCAAAGAGGTGCCAGCACCCGTGCACCTTTACAAGTGCAGTGTCTACATGCATGAATGACGTGATTAGTTTTGAATAGTTCAAATTATGTTTTCAACTTTTTGGAAATATAACAATTGAAGTCCCAAATTTAAATGAACTTTACTTACAATGGCCTGACCTGCTAGTCCCACCATGATGTAGCTGAAATAACAAATAATTTCAAGGAAAATTGTTCATTGCCAAATGAATTAAAAGTTTCATTAGTTTCCCTAGCATGGATCACTAAAAAACCTCTTCAACTGTACTTACAACTGCTGCCACTAAACGGTAGCAGGGATCACGTCCAGGCTGAATGGAACATACAGATGAAATGTCCATCTCTCTACATGAGATAAAAGAGATTGTTAAGACTGAGAGCAATTTAAGAAACACTCCATAATTAAATAAATGGCAAAGGAATTTTTTTTAGAAAGAAAGAATAATGCATCCAATCTTACTGTGACACTTGAATTTCTCTGTTCAGTTTCTCTCCACCATTATGAAATCTCATCAGTTGGATGATCAAGAGCTGGGGCTTCTCTACAATCGCTGACCAGACTTTACAAATGGTATATTCTTTACATCTGTTACAATGCCTGAAACAGCAAGTCCAGATTATTTTTTTAAATCTGGAACTGAAAATAACTAAACATAGTTTGTGTGATTTTGGCGTCCTAATACATGTGGAAACATTTTCTAATACTCACAATTTCAATTTCTTGTTTCCCTGTGGACCTATATTCAGAATGCAATCCTGCACACTATTGCAGCCTTGCATTGATGCAGTGCAGACAAAGTGACGCCACTCCTCAGTGCCAACTATCACCTAAATAATATTATTCATGTAAATAATTGCATGATCAACTAAACAAGATTATGAACACTTGTAATATTTAGCTCTTATTAACCGAGCTGGAGGTCTGTATGGGAGAATCTTGACCTCGGTCGTGAGTACAGAC